TGTCAACCTGCTGGGGTGTGCTTATCAAATTATTACCAACAGCTGATAATACAATCGTCGTGACACGAGCAAACCCATAATCCGGTCTGCGTTACACCGCATCAGTCAATGCATTTCTGGCTTATACTTCACCCCAAAGTTATATTCTGCAACGAGTGAGAGCCACCTGGCCATTCTCTGCGAGAGGTGAGGCGATTGAGTCTCAGTGCGTAAGGACGCATGATCTGTGTAGATCACATACGGCTTTGAGCCAAGCAGGTGCACCCTGCACTTGGCAAGTGCATACTTCATCAAAAATAATTCATTGTCGTGGACTAGGTAGTTCCTCTCAGGGGCTATAAGCTGGCGAGATTCAAACGTAATCACCCGATCTCGCGCCTCAGCGTCTGATTGCAGCAGTGAACAGCCAATGTAAAGTCCGAAGCGTTACAGACGACACTCAAAGGACGATCAGGGTCTGGCAGCGCCAGTATCAGAAGCATCTCGATGCTCGGTGTTCCAACACCATTCCTTATCATTTTTTAGGGTTATAGACAATGGCCGTTCCATTTCCGCATAACTTGCGCTGTACTTGTGCAAGTAGTTGGTGAGGCCAAGTCACTAGCGCAAGTCCTTTTGATTCTTTGTACCCGGCCAGTCCACAATGGCTTTGACCTTGACGAGATCCACCCTAAGGCCACGCTTTCAATGAAGCACCCTGAAAAGGGGGGATTTCTTCAGCACCGAAGATGCACTTATCTGCATAACCATACAGCTTATTCGTGCGCATGAACTCGAGTACTGCTCTATAATGAGCGATGCCATTTTTCTCATCTGTCCTCCCGTGTCCCGCACGACCGTAACGAAGAATTCGTCGAAGAATTTCTGTGCATACGCATGTTGGGGCCTGACCTGAATAACTGCGTCACAAGAGGATTAACTGGTGCTGGTGCATTTGGCAGCCTTTGGGGCATCACCAGCCACTCCCAGAGCATCCCGCTCGGAGAACTCACCACTGTCAGCGAAATATCACTCGCTTCCATGAACAATTGGTAATACACATCGACCAAGTCGAGTGCGCTGTACTTTGCACAGCCAACCATATCGTTTTGGATAACATCCTTTCAGAATCGCACTCAGCTTCGTCTAGTGTCCCCACTTCATGGTCCATCAAAGCCTTGATGTTATTAATAACATTTGACGAAGAGATGCTATTTTAGCAGTCTTCATCCAGTTGATATTGTGCCACATCACGCGCATCACTAGGGTCTTGCCTAAGATGCAGCGGGGCTGCCGTAGCTCTCTGCTTAGAGGAAGCTAAGCTAAGGTCACCGACATTAAGATCTTTCAGCGAACTAGTACAAGTGTAGCGGATCGCATCCCACTACTTCTTAGTACTAAAGCCTTACAAAGGCAAACGAACACTTCTATTCAAAAACGAAACTAAATCTAACTGTCTTAGTTGCGGCAGAGTCGCCAATATCTAAAACTATAGGGTTTCCTAATTAATATAGTAACACCTAATTAATATAGCAAAACCAAATTAATATAGTAATATGCATTACTACTGGCAATCCTGCCACGTGGTGGCTTCTTGTTACGGTGTAGCCACGCCACTGTGTTATTACACTGAGTAATATACACCTACCCTTTCTTATAAGGAATGTAGTAACTCCGGTTTATAAGATGCCTCGTCAGAGAAGAGAAGAGTAGAGAAAAGAAGAATAGAGAGAAGAGAAGACCTCGTCTGACTATGCCACTCTTGGCATGCAGCAACCGCTTCGAAACTCAAGCAGTGCTCAGTGGATTATGTGCCACTTCACGTTTAGCCCGCAAGCCATGCTTAGGACTCTCGATCGATACACCTTTGGTGTTCGACAACTCTGATACTCTAATATCCGGCACATTGACCGTCCCGGTCCGGTGTCTGCGCCAATTCGCGCTTCTACATTCTAGCAAAACGACCCACCAAAGCTCCACCAGAAGACGTGTGCGTAGTGACCAAGGTCTTCGACCTCCAATCAATCCATGGTTCATGGTGTTCTAACCATGCCATTCCAAGGATAAGGTCATACTATGTCTAAGGCTAAGCAACGCTTCAGGTAATCGAAGTCAAGAAACTTGACACCGAGGTGGGATCACAGGGACTCTCGGCACAGTGACACAAGTCCTTGTCGCTACGCGAACAGTGACGGTGTCTGTCAACCGCGCTTTCAGCGCCTCAGCATACAGCTGACTTCCTTCGATTGTGAAGCCTAGAGCATAATTGATTGGCGCCCCGGAATCGATCAGGATCTTCCATGGCTTCTCAT